GAGGGAAGACAGGGGAGGGTGGGTGAGTGCCAGGTAATGAAGGCCTGAGGCAGGGGTGGGCTGGAGGGGGCCAATTAGGGAAAAAAGGGAACATATATAATACTTTCAACAATAAAGGATTATTAAAAAATAAATAAAAATAAACCACCCTAGTATCAAAAAGACTTTGCACTTACTATATGTACTATTCCCTATGGCAGAATCAGAGTAAATGTTAATTATTATACTTATGATTTGCATGATAACTGGTAATATAAATTAATGCAAATAAGACCCTACAACTGAGGAATTATTCAGATGACAGATTTTCTTCTCTCAAGGCTCTTTTCTGTTTCTTCTGAAAGAAATAAAAATAATTAGAATTGACTGTTAATATTTACATTTCATCTTCAATTTTCTAATATCCAGCTCTGAATTAGTAACTCTTCATTTTATTCTGATGTTAGTAATTTTTAATGCAGATGCTCCAACAGTTTTTTTCTCAGCCCAGATTGCACCCGTACATTTCCTTCTATGGCGGACACAAAGTTATTCATGAAGAAGTTCATTATACTTCTGTTAACTACACTATTGCAATCTGACTCTCAATGGCTGTCTTTAGGCTTGTTTTTCTTATACTGCAAATTGAACTGCCTGTTTTACCCAAACATGCAACATGCCTGCTCTCCAGTCCCTGGCTTTGCTCTCCTACTCCTGGGGAATGCCCTTCTCCTTAGCTCTGTCTTTTGTGATTCTGACATTATTCTAGACCCAATTCAAATGCCAAATTGCTCATTCTCTGCATAGCACTTCACCACTCATTACTCTCTTTTTGATTTGTTTATTACTTTGCTTACCATCTCTTCCCTCCTCCCCCCCCCCCGCCCCCCAAGCACAATCAGGGCCTTTTCTTGTTCACTGAAATCCCAGTGCCTAAAACAGTGCATAGATGGTAAGTACATTAAGTATTTGTTGAATGAGCAGAAAAAATATTTATCAAACCAATCTAAGGATAAAATAAATATAGCAAAATTCTCTATAAATAATGATTAAAAAAAACAACCACCTATAACCATTTGTGTTCCAAAGTATAGGTTGGCACTTCAGCTTAATCTAGTGTTATTTTGACAAAGCTGCGAGAATTAAGGAAGATAACGTGATATTTTGAATCAGTCAAAAATAATTTCTAACACCAAAGGCTGAAAGAATTCCAGTTTGAAGGTGCTATTTTTCTCATATGTAACTGTGCTTGTTATACTCCCTTTATAATCTAACTAAACACATTTTTGGTATGCTAACATTTTATGCAAACCTCTTGGTTTTGTCACATAATCAAAAAAGATTCAATGAAGTAAAAAAGACCTTAATGTAGTTTTGAATGATTTTTTTAACAAAAACAGATTTTATATTTCAAAGTAGATAGTCATTTTAATATTAACCTATATAAAATGAAACCTGTATCATAGTTTTTTTCTACTTTAACTTAAATTTCCTATATGCATTCTCCCTTTTTAAAATATATCTCAAACATAACAACAAAAGAGGAAGGAACTCTGAAATGCAATGCTGAAATCATGAAATCTTCCAAAGTACAAAATAAAGTCTTTTTAAATGTTTTATTTTTTTTAAAAAAAAATGTATTTTCATTGATTTTAGGGAGAGAGGAAGGTCGAGGAAGAGAGAGAGAGAAACATAAATCAGCTGCCGCCTACCTGCCTCCATCTCACTGGGGATCTAGCCTGCAACCTGGGCAGCAGCAACCTCTCAGTGCAGAGGGCGGAGGATGATGCTCAATCCACTGAGCCACTCTGGCCAGGCTAAAGTCTTTTTCTTTTTTTAAAAAATATGTTTTTATTGATTTCAGAGAGGGAGGGAGAGGGAGTGCGAGATAGAAACATCAATGATGAGAGAGAATCATTGATCAGCTGCTTCCTGAATTTCCCTCATTGGGGATAGAGCCCGAAACCTGGGCATGTGCCTTGACTGGGAATCGAACTGGTGACCTCCTGGTTCCCAGGTTGACACTCAACCACTGAGTACACCTGGCTGGGCTAAAGTCTTTTTCTTAATGAACAGCATAGGCACTACTAAACAGGTGTTGCTTAACCTCTGAGTCTCAGTTGTGCTTATCTATAAAATGAAATAACAATACCTACTTTTTCTGGCCTGAAAAGAGGAAGAAAGAGAAAACAGCCTAGCACCATGCCTGGCACATATAAAGTGCTTAGTAAGTATATATTGAATGAATGAATTCCATTAAAAACACAGGTGCCAATGAACTAAATTACTATATATAGTTTAATGAAAAATAGTAATTAATGATTGTGCAACCAAATAGCTAAAGGTATAATCACATGTGTTTTAACAGTTCCCTGATTAGTACACAATCAACAGAACAGCATATATGTGAATAAATCAAGTACATTGACCTTAAAACACTATGGGTGGCATAGGAATGGTCCAAGCAATTATTCAAGAGACCTAAGTATGGTCACATCTACCCAAGTAAAAGAAGAGATTACAGAAATTTTCTTATGTCTTAAATAGAAATTCACATATGTTATTGGAGAGATAGTAGTTAGTTATTTATACTTCATTAAAAAATAAATTCTAACAGATAATGATTGTTTATTACTCATTTTCTATACCTGCATAGGCACAAGCTAAAGGCATTAAAGTTCTCCCTTTTAGAAACAATAACCAATTAATGTATGGTAAATTATGCTTCCTCTTACTTTCCCTTTCAGTCCCTATGAAAACCCTACATGGTCAATGCCATAAAAATGAGAGAACAAATTTTCAATTAGGGAGCTCAAGGCATAAGTCTAGAAACAAACATGTTTGGTGTTGGGGATATATTAGGAAACAAAGATAAAAAACCTTCATGGGCCTTACAATCTCAGATTTGTGTTGAAATAGGTACAGTGTATGGCTTTTAGAGTTAGGAATGAAGCTGCCCAAATACATATTCATAATAAAGTATGTTCTTAAAGCACTGCATTAGTAGCTAGGGGATTTATATGTTCTTTTCATCCTCAATTATTGAATGAGGTTTGATATTTTGTGCAAGGCCTTGGAACATACTATGCTTTTATTGTGCACAATTCAACTTCTTTCTGTTGTTTGATTTAGGGGATGTGAATAATGATAATCAAGCAGAATTGTTTCTTCTTCCTCAGTCCCATAGTACTTCCTTTCTGTGATGCTTAGAGCACTTACTGCATAGCTTGCTCATTTGTCTCCCAGCCTGGACCCAGCACTGTCCAGGGACAGGGCCACATCTCATTAATCTCTGCAAGGCCAGAGCCTAGCAGAGTGCTTGCCGCACAGTTCAGGTGGGATGTATGTTTGCTGTATGTATAAATTTATATATGCCTTACTGTTTTCAAAGCACATTCAGACCCTCACAAACTCAGCAAGATTGAAAGGTAGAATTAGTTTCCTCTTTTACAGACTCTCAGTGAGAGTGAAGGTTATTACCATGTTTGACAGGTGAGGAAACGGGATCAGTGAGGAATTATGTGATTTCTAAAGAAAACATAACTAAGACTTGAATTTCAAGATCAGGTTCTTTCTAAAACACTCAGCAAAAATATAGGCATGTTGAGCTATTTCAGGGATGTCTTTAGGGTCTGTTGGATGTATGGCCATCTTCTACTTTCTCAAATCATTGGTGAAATCTTGCTTCCTTTTTTAAAAAATATAGACCAATGTCCCAGCCAGTGTGGCTCAGCAGTTGAGCACCAACATATGAACCAGGAGATGGCAGTTCAATTCCTGGTCAAGGCACATGCCTGGGTAGTGGGCTCAATCCCCAGTAGGGGGTGTACAGGAGGCAGCTGATCAATGATTCTCTCATCAGTGGTGTTTCTATCTCTCTCTCCTTCTCTCTTCCTCTCTGAAATCAATAAAAACATATTAAAAAATAAAAATGCAGGCCTTGGATGCAAAAGATCTCCAGAAATCATCCATTTTGTCATCAGAAGACCATGATATGGATCACATACAAATATTTTGCTTTAAAACAGAATGTATTGCTGGCCAAAACAATTCTGCTCTGTTCTAGGGAAGGGAATGGAGGCAGCTTTGTCCTTTACAATCCTAAACCCACGGTCATCACCATTCTGCTTACATAAGATTTCTATATACTTCTTAATTTCTTTACCAGGAAGTGAGTCCCTACAGTGGCAAGATAGTGAAAGCAGTTGAAGAGGTCACAGCCAGTACTTGAAGGTTTTAGTAATTGGATTCTGATCAACTGACTCTAAAGTCACCCTTTTAATAACATCACATCCCACTAGATCATAAGCTACAGGAAAGTAGGAGCTGTATTGAATTCCTAAATCAGGCCAGGGCACATGGCATGTAACACTCCTAGCTCTATTCCTGACATACATGTTAATAAGTGACAATCAAATAACCACTGGCTACATAGACCAACCTGAAAATGTGCTAGGTACATGTTTCACAAACTTAGTAGTGGAACTTCTCTTCGTGTTTTTTATTTAAAACCATTTTTACGAAGTTTGCTTTTCAGATAAGTTATTTTCTAGGCAATACACTCAGGTCTTTAATGGAGACCTAGTGACGGAACCCTGGCCTTAAGTCAGTTATCTTGCTACTGTTACAAGTCAACATTCCAAATAATAATAACAACAGAAATTAACAGCAACTACATATAAATCCCAATATTTCTGACTCAGAAGCATTTTCTCCCCAGGGGATGGGGTTACAGGTTTGACAAATTCTCTTAATCTTAAAAAAAAAAAAAAAAAAAAAATCACCTCTCTACCTCCCTGCCCCCATCTCTCTTCAACCTTCTCCCCTCCCCCTGGGGCACGCATACTCTGACCATTGCATTTCACTGGAAAGTTGAAAGGAAGCAGCACGCCATCTGCACCCGTGTGTGCTCCGCCGGCTGGAACAGCGAAGTTCGCGGGCAGAGCCTTCCGCCCCTGAGCCGGCGATGCAGTCGCTCTGATACCTGCTCAGCTCCACGCGGCATCTCAAGGTCTGTCCGCAGCCAAACAGTTGCGTCTCCATCTGGCTGCCAACCCACCCAAGCTTTCTTCTCCTCCACCGCCGCCGCCACCTTCCTCCTCCCCGCTCCTTCCCCTCCTTTCCATCTTCCCTCTCCACCCCCGCCCCCAATCTCCTCCTCTTTTTCTCACTAAAAACGGTTGCTGCTGCTGAAGCCGAGCGTCACTTGGGCTCCCACCGCAGACATGGCGACATTGACAGTGGTCCAGCCGCTCACTCTGGACAGAGGTAAGGGAGCGACCCGCCCGCCAGCCCATTGCCTCCCCTCTGCCTCCTCTTCTCTCCCCGCCAACTGCCACCGGGACAGGCGGACATGCTCGGGCGGGGGGAGCAGGGCGAGCGAGCAAGGGCGAGCGAAGAAGGCGAGGCGTTCGCGCTGAGAGCAGGAGACTTTCTTCCCCTTTCTCTGCCTCGGCTCCCCGCCGGGCCGCCTAGGGGTGCCTTCGCCGGCCCCGGAGCCCTCGCTCCCCCTCGCCGCCCCTCCCAGCCCCTCGCCGGGTCGCCGGGGGCCGCCGGCTTTGTTGGAGCGGATGCGGGGCGACCGCCCGGCGCCCGGGGCTCGGGGCTGCGGAGGGGCCGGGAGGAAGCTCGCCGTGCCGTGCCGGCGGGGGCGCCTGCAGCCCGAGACCTGGAAGCGCGGCTGGGGGGACCCAGGAAGGAGGAAGTTTGTCCCTGCGCCGGGGGCGATGGTCGGTCCCGCTGCCGGTGCCCAGGCAGCCGCCCGGGGGCGGGCCAGGCGCACCCCGGGGCAGCGGTGCCAGGGCGCACGGCGGCTGGGCTGCGGCGGCGGGAGTTGCTCTTGGCCAAAGGGCAGCGCGGTGCCCCGGCCCGGGGCGCATCGTCACTGCAGCTGAGTCCCGTTATTGCCGGCTCCGAAGGCGGAGGGGGTCGTATCTGTCCCCACCGCCCGGTGACCCCCGGCAGCGGCCACCCACAGTTTCCCTTGCCCCGCCAGCCTCGGTCTCTTCCCCCCGTAGCCACCGCGGTGCCCGGGCTGCGGAATGCGCTGGGACGCAGCGCAGACGGGATTGAAATTCAACTTCTGACCTGCGACCCTGTGCGCCCAGCTCTCTGACTTGATGCGGAAGCGGTGTTTGCTTTCCCCCCAAGTCCTCCTCCAGCCTGAGGGTGAGGACATCCGCTTGGATCGGGGCCTCGCTGCTGCACCCCTGAGGGGTTACACCTGTCACCGAGTGTTGGGTTATCTTCCTGGCTTCCCCTGTCCAGTGGTGAAGGCGCTCGAGTCCCGCGACCCTGCAGCGGAGGACACCTGCTTGTCCCCCTCCGCAGCGGCCGGATTTAGGACCGTGGGTGGCCATTTGGAAATGGTGTGTTCAGACGAAAATGATTTAGTTTGATGTGCCTCTAAAAATATTCTTTTGAGCGGCTTAAACTGGACTGTGGGACGAGGCAGAGGAGCATCCTGCTGCGAGTACAGTGAAAGAGCCAGTGAGGTCTTTAATTTGGGGAGATTGTGGGTGACTTCAAGGCACTCTGTTGGCGCCAGAACAGATCTTATTTGGTGCTCATAGCAACTTCGCTTGGGGGTAAAAGTTGAAAAAAATTTATTTTTATTTTGGGAAATGTTAATTTGCAAACTTGTAAATTAATAACAGTACTTAAAGAACTCAGAAATCCATTGTATGATCCATGATATCACTCCAGTACCATCATCTGCACTAAGCAGGATAAATCCATTGCCACTAAGAGCCAAACAGATGGCAAGCTACGAGAAATTATATATTTTCTAAGTATTTCTGTTTTAATGTAATGAGCTCTTATATGGTCTCATTACTTAATCAGTCTTTAAATAGCTCAAGTAAATCGACTACACTAGGAGAAAAAAAAAAAAAAACTCCAAGAAAATTGCATACCTGAGGAATTGATATACTGCTACACACTACTGAAAATATTTCACTTTTGGTTGTACCTTAGCCCTTAGATGCCTCCCTCAGTTGTGGAGAGGAAATGCAATCTGACCAAGATCTGGTCTTAAAGTTTGTTCTTGTTCACAGCCAGGCTGTCCCTGTCCTTCCTAGTGTGATTAGTTTCATGCAGTAAGTAGCTCAAGAGGCAAGCTGGGAGAGACAGTGGTTGTAGCTGAATAAATTAATTCACCAACAGCTCAGTGCAAAGTGTGTAATTTACTGATGATGGGTTAGCGGTAGGATTGCTGTGCATAAAGTCAATATATAAAAGTATTTTTATCTCTTCGTCATTAAAATACGATTAATTGATTAATTTCATCATTAAACTGATGAAATAAAGAATTCTGAAAGAAAAAAAAGAGAGTCTCTTAAAAGACGAAGCCAAATACTACTTATCTGGGTCCTAGTTGTAACTCTGATACTTTGGATGAGTCAGTTAGTCTCTCTGGGCATCAGATTTCCACTGTGCAACATAAGGAGTTTGGCTTAGATGATTCTGACACTGTGCAGCTTTAATTTGATTCATTAAAATGAGGACTCAGTTTCTGGTCACCTGCTGGAAGATTTTTCAAGTGCACCCCAGTTTCCCAGGTTGTTTTGATGCCCTTTGATGTGCACTGAGGTCACCTGCTGCTTTGGCTCCATCAAAACATTTCTCACACTGTTGCATCTTTCTCCTTCCTCCTTGAATAGAGCTCCTTCAAGGAAGAGACCGTTTCTAAACTCATCGTTGTGTTCTCAGTGTCTGACCTTGTCCCCGATCACAGTAGAAAAATCACACGTGAGTGTAAGTTAGTGTGAGGACGGCAGTAAACTTCATCACCGTTAAAATATAAGGATTTAGTAGTGAACTGAGGTACAGTTTATAGATTCACAACATCTTGGCCCTGGAAAGGGTGGCAGGGAGAACATAGGCCGGCAGTTTAACCTTTCATTTTCCCTACATGCTTGACAATTACTCTCAGTTACCATAGCTCACCAGGGCTGTGATCATTAACCAAGGGGGACTGTAGCAGGTGGGCAAAGGAGAGGAAGGAAGGAAGATGTCTGACAAAACCTCCAAGGACATCTCAGCAAGCCTGAATCCATGTCCATAATTTGAGAGCTAGTTCTTTTTTAGCATCTTCATTTTTCAAATGAAAAACATGAAGGAAAGAAGAGGATACTATTTTAGGAACTGGGAGGTTTTACGCTACAATCTAATTTGTCTTATTTGATGCCCTTTGGCACCATAAATGGATTTATCTGGAATCTTCATGGCAAAGGTTTTAAGCAAACTAATCAAAGCTATGGATTGAAATTAAGATTTACTCCTCCCAGAGTACTAAAGACATCTGAAAGGGAGACGCTCAGAGTAGGTGCTAGCTTCTTGGGTCTTGTCTGGGAAGCAAGCCTCTGCTAGGACCAGGCTGGGCCCTGAAAGGATAAACAGGGCAGTTTAAGGTTTTCACTTCTCTGTGCATGTCCTAAGCTCCTTTCCATCTGCCATTAAGACCTCATATTAACTTTGTGGAGGCCTCTGGGTAGCTATTGGCAGAAGAGGTTCCTAGTCATTCTGGTCCCAGTCCTGATGGTTTTTCATATATTTATTGTATGTCTACTATGTGTGAGACCCCACTATGGGATTGGCATGCATGGTGGGCTAATCAGACATAATTCATCTTTGTTGTAATTAGACTCTACCCAGAGAGAAAGATTACACACACACACACACACACACACACACACACACACACACACACATATGCAAACCATTCATTATTTATTTTTCTATAACCTACTCTATACAAGATGCTGTAGGAATACCAGAAACAATGTTCCTGCTTTTATGGCCCTTAAGAGTCTAGTGGGAGAAACAGATAATAAGCGAGGAATTAATTGATTCAACAAATAAGTATTGAGTGACAGCCTATGGCAAGCACTGTTTTAAGCAATGTAGCAGTACTAATGCACAAAGCAGATAAAGTTCTAATGGAGTTTACATGCTAATGAAGGAGTCACACATTGAACACGTACATATACTAGTACAACTATAAGTGCCAGTGAGAAAAATAAGACTGCGTCCAGGAGAGCATGTGAAGTATGACAGTCAAGGAAGACCCTCTGGGTTGGTGACGTTTAAGAAACCTGATGAAACTTAGGAGCAAACTTTGCAGCTGTGCTCTGGAGAAGACCCTCCCTCCCGTGTGCACCCTGGGACCAGGAAGGAAATTGTTGAGAAGATGTGAGCACAGCGGGGAGTCATAGAAACTGGGATGTGAGGAGTTGATAGACAGGAGCTAAATGATGTAACTTATACAGAGGATTTTAGATGAACTGAAAATATGAAGTGCTCACAAGACAAATAACATGACATAAGGCTAGAGGAAAATAGGGAAGGACCTATTTAGATAGTGTTGGTTTAGGAAGGCTCCCTGAAAAAGCAACATTTAAACAGTTCTGATCCTTACTAATAAAAGCCTAACTAGTCCTCATGCCTTGATGCCCTCACACCATCACAAGATGGCTGCACACACAGCGGGCACTTGCATGTGGGCATGGAGCCTGCCTGGGAGTCCCGCCTCCTCCCGACTCTGCTGCGTGGTGTGGAGGCGGGATCTCCAGCTCCGGCCTACCTCTCTACCTCTTTGGGGCAATCTATCGCAGAGGTCCTGCACTGTGACAGGGCACAGGCCAGGCTGCCCACCCCTCCCACCCCCACTCCCCCCCCCCCCCGAGTGCACGAAATTCATGCACCGGGCCTCTAGTGTATTAATAAGATCCTTAGGAAAAAAGTATTCTGGAAAGAGGGAAGAATACACATAAGAGCATTTTCATATGTACAACTCCGCTACTATCTCTTTAATACATGTATAACCAATCAAATGATTGAAAAATATTACCAAGGAATAATAACACTCTATGTATCCTTTCTTGGTTATAAGTATACCAAGAAAATCTATAAATCTGTGTTGTGTTTCTTTTTCCTAAGCTGAAGCATCATATGTTATAACTAGATTTTCAAATGTAATTTAAATAGATATCACTATGCATAAATTTACATGTGAAATCCAAGTAGTCATAATATGCGATATATTCATTTCATTTTAATATTTTATATTAGACAGTGATGTAGAAAGTAGCACTTGATAGTTACCCTTGTGGCAAAGAAAAGATGCTGATAAGGAGATTAGTGTGGATCTTCTCTTCCAGAATTTAAAGCATTCACAGCAATTCTTCCCTACAGCAGAGGTTAGTTTACCCAGATTTCAGTCTCTAAAATCAGAAATGACCTTCAGTTAAACTCAAGGGAACAAAGCA